GGGACTACGTGAAGTGTACTAACATTTGAATTAGAGGTATCCCTGAGAGTGAAGAAGAAAGAGCTAAAAGCATGAGAAATCTATTTGAGGAAATTATTGAGGAAAATTTCCAAGACATCACCAGAAATTCAGAAATACATGTAAAAGATGGACATCAAACACTGGGAAGGTTCATAGCAAACAGGTCATCTCCAAGACATATAGTAATCGACATGGCCAAAGTGAAAATGAAGGAGAAAACTCAAGCAGCAAGACGAAAGCAACATATAACCTGCAAAGGCCAACTGCAGACTTCTCAGCAGAAACCTTACAGGCTAGATGGGATTGAGGCCCCATCTTCAATTGACTTAAACTGAAAAGCTGCCAGTGTAGAATTTTCTATCCTGAAAAACTAAGTTTCACAATAGTCAGAGAAATTAGATGCTTTCCAGACAAGCAAACACTGAGGGAATATGTCATGACCAGACCTGCTCTGCACAAAATATTCAGAACAGCACTCACTACACATAAATCAGCACAACAGATACCCAACAGTGTAAATTCACCTACCTCCACCCAAAAAACCTCACAACTCCTATAAAACAATGGAACAAGAGGTAAAACAAAGCAATAAGGGACTATCTAACAGGAAGAACAGATCAACATCCCGCATATCAATGCTATCAATCAACGTGAATGGACTCAATACTCCTCTCAGAAGACATAGGCTAGTTGAATGTATATAAAAAAAAAACATAACCCAAATATCTGCTGCCTCCAGGAAACATATCTAAACTACAAGGACACACACAAACTAATCATGAAAGGATGGGAAAAAAATTCCACACAAATGGAAATCAAAAGAGAGCAGGTATAGCCATTCTCATATCAGATGAAATTGACTTTAAGCCAACAAAAGTAAAGAAAGACAAAGAGGGTCATTATGTAATGGTATAGGGAGCTATCCAACAAGAAGACATAACAATCATAAACACATAAACACATAAACACACAAGCACATAAACATATATGTGCTCACAATACGAGCTCCCAGATACATAAAGCAAATCTTACTAGAACTAAGCAAAGAAATAAATAGTATCATCATAATTGCTGGTGACTTCAATACCTCACTGTTGATAAATCATCTAAGAAGAAAATAAATAAAGAAATAATGGACTTAAACCAAACTCTAAAACAAATGGACCTAACCAACATTTAAAGAACATTCTACCCCAAAACTACAAAATACACATCTTTCTCAGCAGCACACAGGACATTCTCCAAGACTGATCATATCTTAAGACACTGATCATATCTTAAGACATGGTTCAACAAATCCAAAAAAATCAAAATCATACCATGTATCTTCTCAGACCACAGCAGAATAAAACCAGAAATCAATCACAAGAGAAAAAAACTCAAATTTACACAAAGTCATGGAAATTATACAACCTGCTTCTGAATGATTATTGTGTCAAGAATGAAATTAGATGGAAATAAAAATATTATTTGAGATTAACAACAAAGGGGACACAAACTATCAAAATTTTGGGGATAGAGTAAAAGCATTCATCAGGGGAAAATTCATAGTCTTAAATGCCAACATCAAAAAGACAGAAATATCACAAACTGATAATCTAAAATCATAACTCAAGGAACTAGAAAAGGAAGAACAAACCAAACACAAAGCCAGCAGAAGAAAAGAAATAATGGCAGTTAGAGCAGAACTAAATGAGTTGGGGAAAAAAAATACAAAGGGTTAATGAAACAATTAGTTCTTTGAAAAGATAAATAAAGTTGATGACTTCTTGCTAGATTAAACAAAAACAGAAGAGAAAGGACCCACAAAAGCTCAATCAGATATGAAAAAGGTGACATTACCACTGATACCACAGAAATATACAAAACATCATCCATGAATACTATGTAAATCTCTACACCATAAACTAGAGAACACAGAGGAAATGGACAAGCTCCAGGAAACACACAATCTCCCAAAACTCAAACAGGAAGAAACAGAACTCCTGAGCAGATAAATAATGATCAGTAATTTAAAAACTCCCAACGAAACAAGCCCCAGACAGGATGGATTCACAGCTGAATTTTAACAGACCTACAAAGAAGATCTGGTACCCATGATACAGAAATTATGCCACAAAATTGAGAAGGAAGAAATCCTCCCCAATTCATTCTATGAAGCCAGTAGCACATTGATACCAAAGCCAGCAAAGGATACAACAACAACAAAAAAAGAAAACTACAGACCAATATCTCTTATGAATGTAGATGTAAAGGTCCTCAACAAAATACCAGCAAACCAAATTCAACAGCACATCAAAAACAATAATAATAATAATCCATCATGACCAAGTGGGCTTCCTCCCATGGATGCAAGAATGGTTCCACATATGTAAATGAATAAATGTGATTCATCACTTAAACAAAAGCAAAAACAAAGACCATATGATCATCTTACTAGACACAGAAAAAGTATTTGACAAAAATCCAGCATCCATCCATGATAAAAACTCTCAACAAATTAGGCATAGAAATAACACATCTCAGAATTATAAAAGCCATATATGACAAACCCACAGCAAACATCATTTTGAATGGGGGAAAGCTGAAAGCATTCCCCCTAAGAACTAGAACAAGATAAGAATGCCCACGGTCACCACTCCTGTTCAACATAGTGCTGGAAGTCCCAATCAGGGCAATCAGGCAGGAGTAGGATATTAAGGGTGCACAAGTCACGAAAGAGGAGGTCAAACCATCACTCTTTACTGATGATATGATCTTGTATCTAAACAAACCTAAAGATTCCACCAAGAGTCTCCTGGAATTCATAAATACATTCAGCAAAATCTCAAGATACAAAATCGAAGTACATAAATCAGTAGCATTTCTATATACTAATAACAGTCAAGCCGAGAGTCAAGTCAAAGACTCAATACCATTAACAATAGCTACAAAGAAAGTAAAATACCTGGCAATATACTTAACCAAGGAGTTAAAAGATCTCTACAAGGAAAACTATGAAACTCTGAGGAAAGAAATTGCAGAGGATACAAACAAATGGAAAATCGTATCATGCTTATGGATAGGTAGAACCATCATTGTTAAAATGTCCACACTACGCAAAGTGATTTACAAACTGAATGGAATCCCCATCAAGTTACCAAAGTCATTCTCCATAGATCTAGAAAAAATAATTCTATGCTTTGTTTAGAACCAGAAAAGAGCCAAAATAGCCAAAGCAATCTTAAGTAAAAAGAACAAAATTGGAAGCTTCACATCACCAGACTTCAAACTATAATACGAGGCATAGTAACCAAAACAGCATTGGTACAAAAATGGAGATGTAGACCAATGGAACAGAACAGAAAATCTAGACACAAAACCATGTGCCTACAAGAAACTGATCTTTGACAAAGCAGACAACAATGTACACTGGGGAAAAGAAGCCCTGTTAAATAAATGGTGCTGGAAAAATTGGATAGCCACATGCAGAAGAATGAAACAGGACCTCTACCTCTTCCCACTCACAAAAAATAATTCGAGATGGATAAAAGACTTAGATTTAAGGCATAAAACCTTAAGAATTCTAGAGGAAAATGTAGGAAAAACTACTCACGGAATTTATGAAAAAGACCCCAATGGCAATTATGGCAACAACAAAAATTGATAAATGGGATTGGATTAAGCTAGAAAGCTTCTGTACAGCTAAGGGAACAATCAACAGAGCAAACAGGCAATCTACAGAAGAGGAGAAAATATTTGCAAGCTACACATCTGATAAATGGCTAATAACCAGAATTTACAAATAACTCGAGCAAATCACCAAGAAACAAACAACTTCATTAAAAAGTGGTCAAAAGATGTGAACAGAAGCTTCTCAAAAGAAGAAAGACAAATGGCCAAGGAACATATGAAAAATGCTCAATATCTTCAATCATTAGTGAAATGGAAATTAAAATGACAATGGGATATCACTTTATCCCAGTTAGAATGGCTTTTATTTAAAAAAATCCCAAAACAATAGACACTTGTGTGGATGCAGAGAGAATAGAATATTTATACACTGTTAGTGGGACTGCAAATTAGTACAGCCTTTAGGGAAAACAGTACAGAGATTCCTCAAAGAGCTAAAAGCAGAGCTATAACTCAATCCAGAAATTCCCCTACTGGGTATTTACTCAAAGGAAAAGAAGTCATTTTATCAAAAGACACCTGCAATTCAATGTTTATTGCAGCATAGTTCACAATTGAAAAGATGTGGAAACACCCCAAGTTTCCATCAGTTCATGAGTGGATTAATAAAATGTGGTATATGTACACCATGGACCACTACTCAGTCATAAAAGAAAAGATGTATTTATACCTTTTGCAACAATCTGGATGGAACTGGAGACCATTCTCCTAAGTGAAGTATCTCAAGATGGAAACACAAACACTACACGTACTCACTATTAAATTGGAACTAACCGATGAGCACACAGGTGCACAGAAGGAAGTAAAACTCAGTAAGAACAACCATGGGGGAGGAGTGCGTGGGGGGAGGGTAATAAAATCAACCCAATGAGTACTATGAACACTATTTGGGTGACAGGCACATCTACAGCCAGGACTCAAGCATTACAAAAATGATCCTTGTAACCTAAAATATTTTTACCTCCTTAATACTTTTAAATTTCAAAAAACAACAAAATACTCATACCCCTTCAACTGAGATAAGATTTCAAAAAAGGGACAGCCCCTCCCTTTTCCCTTTTTCCTTAAACTGGCTTCCTCCCTTACACTTCCCACCTTCACAGGGGAGCATGCAACTGAAGTAAGGTTTGGCAGCCTCCCTTCACCATCCCTAACCTGGGGGGCAGAATGGAAAATTCCAAGCAAGAACAGTAAGAGCTTGCCGTCTCGGGCTCGCTCTCAAAAAGGGCGGGGGAAAGGACTGTGTGGCGGCTGCAGTGCGATTTCCGGGTTCACGGGAGGCCGCAGGGGAATGGACTAGAGCCCCAGAGAAGAGGGAGCGTGGGGCCTGAAATGCGGGTACGAGAAGAAGGGGGACTTGGAGGAACGGAAGATAGGCGCGGGAGCGGAAGAGGGTCTCCCGGGGAGCAAAAAAGGGCATGCAAAGCGGAAGCGGGGTTGCAGGGGAGCGGAAAAGGGTCTTGGTAAAGCGGAAGGGGAAGTCTCCGCGCAGTTCAGGGCTGTGGCGGGAGGCGCTGGCCCTAGGGGTACACTTTAAGTGCAGTCGGGGCAAGAATCCTAGGAATGTCGCTGTGGAGTGGACTCTAGCTCTCCTCCAAGCCATTCCCAAACAGCGAGCCTCTGGAGTTCCGCGGCTTGTCTCCTGCAAAGCCGCCGGGCAGACCCACCCTCTGCTGGGCGTGGGAACCCAGTGCCGGGCGCTGAGGACCGACATTGCCAGGTGAAGGAGAGCGCTGGGCAGAGAGGAAAAAACTTGCCAGAAAACACAGATAAGTAGCGACTTTAACATTTGCACAAGCATAAGGAGGCTTCCTTTCAGCGCACTAACTTTATTTCTGAATACTTTCAAGGCCCCGTGCTAAGTTACGTAATGTTCCCTGGAACCTCTGTAATTGTGTTTTTACTTATGTATTAAATTGTCTTGCTTAACTAAAACTTTATTTCTTATATTGTTTGTATCGTGCAGCCAACTTTTCAACCACAACAAAATGAGCAACTCAGTTTTGGTGTGGGTTCTTTCTAGAATTTGTGTGAGCTGCAAAAATCCTTTTAATGCTACACACAAGGGTCACAAACGTAGGCAGGGAAAATCACGGATAAATTATCGGCTGAAAAGGCTGATAAGGGCTGGAGAGAGCATCTAAGTCAGCACTCTCTCTTTTCTTTTCTCACTTCCATATCTGAAAGCCTATCTACTGTGTACCAGTTTTTCCTGTAGGTGCTAGAGGTATAGAAACTGGACATGGGCGGGAGTACTAAAGGACCCTTTGTTCTGAAGAACAAAGGTTTCTTCCTTTGGAAGAAACAAGCTTGGATAATAAGTATAATTGTGAAATCTGCGGGAGGGAGGAGCATAGAAGTTAAACAGCTCGTCTTTTCTTGACATCTTATTGGGTTATCTGAAATTTGAGCAGAGTATAATATTTGGGGCACTGGCAGTAATCAGGGTTCCTCCCATTCCAGGACAGGAAGCCAGCTTGTGAAGAGGCATGGAGTTGAAACAGGGTGAGTTGAGAGAATAATAAACAGGATACCTGGAGAGTTGGTTTGTGGCCAGATTCTTTAGCCCCTGTGTGTATTTTAGTATTTAAGAAAATTATTATTGGCAATTACCATTTGTTAGGCGCTGCACATGCTTTCTTGCAGATAAATCTAGTAGGAAGATCTGGTTAAAGAAGTAATTACAGTAAAATATGCTGATCTTTTCTTAACATCTTTCTGGGTTTTGACCAGAAAGGTGAGTGGATAATAATCATTTGGGGCACTGGAAGTGATCTGCATTCCACCACATGTGGTGTGGCAGGTAATGAAACTTGCAAGGTAGTTTATATGATGATAGCCTAAAACCAAATTGAATCTTTAAAAACCAGCTGTATGTTGACAATCTAAAATGAAATACTTCTAATTTTTTTTTGTTTGTTACCATAGGCCAATTGTTTTCTTTTTAAGTATAGCTTTGTGTTAGTTTTTTTAATTTAGTGGTTCCAACATAAGGTAAAACCGGTCAGGGCTTTTAAGAGAACATCTTGCTAAATTCCTGTGCACCAAGGAGAACTGTATTTCATCACCTTTGTAGGACTCGGAAAAAAACTGGTGAATGAACCCTTTTCTGGCGAGTGAACCCTTCCATCTCAGATGGCCAAAGGAGATTGCCCTCTCTTTCCCTTTTCCATGGTTTGGCAGTGAACTTACTCAGCTAGACTGAATCTGCTTTGTGGCAAGACAGCAAGGCAATCCCCCAAGACAAGTTTTGTCCTGAAGAAGAGAGTTTATGAAATTATAAATGCCTCAGAACCTTTTCATTGCCTTGTGATTGTGAAAGAAATCCAAAATACCAATTTTTTACTACATGCTTATACATAACCTGAATCTTAAGCTATGTTCACTTGTATTTTCAGATACTATAGTAGTTTAATAATGGCTACCACCTTGTCATTTCCTCACCACTAAGCTCTAATGTAGTCTCTGAATTTAGAATTGGGATGAAAGTATACATAATATACCATATTATCAAATTTTTAGAATTGGATTCCTAAACTGGACATCAGTGAATCTAGCAGGCTTTAGCAGTGCCTAAGTTTTTCTGGCACAGGCAGAAGAATATGAAAGGAAGAGAGAAAAGAAGGGACAGTTAGTAGTGGGAGTGGGACAGAATGAGGGGAGAAAGAAATATGGAACAGAGAAAAGGATCCATGAAGTATTATAAGATTTCCTTGGAAAAAATCAGCATTTCAAAGATAGATCAAAGATGTCTAATGAGGCAAAATATTACTGTTACATAAATATTTAAATTTTTCATGATTTAAGGATAAGAGTATATAGATGTTGTGGCATTTATACTAATTTTCCTGGTGTTATTGGCTGTCGCAGGTAGGGGTAATCAAGACAGAGCAGACATACCTCTTATAATGAGAGCAGAAAATATGTTGTTTTCTGATTCTACAGTAATAAAAATGTTAATGCTTTTATAAGTCTTTACTCCTTATTTTCTAGTGTAATTCCTTGTTCTTTGAACAGAGTATTTCAGAAAACATAGGCGAACCTATTTTTTGAAAATAGATATCTAAATCCTTATCAAGTTTCTTTAGCACTGTGATTCTGAAGTTATGATCAATGTGGAGAAGATCAAGACCTCTGCCCCAACTGAATTTTCTTCTTTGAGTTTTCTCTTCATATCTGCAGGGGGAAAATATTCACAGAGCAGATTCCAGGAAAAAGCAAGTTCCTGGACGTATTATGCTCGGCTCTGAATAAGTAGACTTCTCAGCATTGTGAGCTGAGATAGTAAATGACCTATTTTCCTAGACTAGAAGCAGTCCTAAGGAACCCTGAATCCTACTCTATTTTGCCTTCATGGAATGGGACACCAAATTGAAGGCCGTGTCACGTTCCTTTTACCATTGGAGCTGGAGAGAGATAGATAGAGAGAGAGAGAGAGAGAGAATGAGAAAGAGAATCCAGTAGAGAGGAAAAGGAGGGAGAACAGAACTAAGAGTATTGAAAACAACAGGTTCAGTTTGTAACCTCCTACTGAAAGCTCTAATACTTGGACTGAATTGATTGTCTTTACCTCAAAACCAGTGTCTTCCTCTGGAAGGGGGAGTGGGGAAGGGGAGAGGACACAGTGGGTCAAGTCTTGAGTTCATCATTTAAGTGTGATAATAACAGTTACTAGGTATTTACCTCGGTAACCATTGGGCAAAATTGCCTCTTTTTCTGAGAGCCCTAACCCGTAACTCCTAATAGCGTTCGAAGAGATTAATATTTGAACATCTCAAATATTGATAGTTCAAATAGGAAGAATACTACTAATCAGGTCCTTGTAAAATATGTATGACAGATATTGTAGATACGTAGTGACTTTGTTTTATTATTTAACCTCTTTTCTTAAAAAGTGTTAATATTTTGATTAATGATCCAATAGAGATCATACAACCCATTTTGTAAACATGAATAAAACCAGTCAGGGAGCTCTTGCCATCCCGTTGTGAAGGGGAACAGAAATTCCTCAGCTAGGACTGATGGAAGAGTGATGGCCCTGTGGCAAGCTGACCAGAGGACAGTGAAAAAGAGAATTTATTTCTCTGGCCATCTATGATACTGTCACTCACTTGTAGCTGCTCATCCATGGCTTGCATTTCTTAGAAACCCAGCAATGGCATAATTTTTTTTTTCTATTTTGTACATATAAAGCTTATCTTTAGGAAATGATGGTTAGGTACTGTAATACCTATACAGTAATGACCACATTGGGTGTCTTTTGGTTCCACAAAGATTTAATGTAAAACTCTGTGTGCTAAGAACTATGAATAAGGTATATTCCTTGTCCTTAAGAATTTTTTAGTGGAGACAGGAGCTCACCCTCAATATGTTACCATTCTCATCTCTAATTCTCTATTATCTAGTTGTGCATCAGTTTTTTAAGAAATATTACCTTTAGTACGTACTCTTGTTTAGTTGCCAGACTTGCCAACAAAGAGCCTTCAGACATCTATAGGCTATATTATTATTGGTAGCTACTGATGGAATATGTGTTCTTTATTTCTTCTAAGTAAAAAAATAGAATACTTAAACTAGTTTTGCAATTGGCAATTTAGAAGATTGGGAGAAATTACTGGGAAAGACAGAGACATCCTCCAAAATTTTCAATGATATTCTTCAGTTAAAAAGTTTGTTGAGAAGTAAATGTAGCACCTGTACACAGAGTGTAAAATGTATAAGAGTTTAAAGAACAACAACAACAAAATACATACCTGTGTATCCATTACCTAGGTTAAGAAATGAACACACCTATATTCTGAAACCTAACTTTTTTTTTTTTTTAGCACTTTTTAGGTGACTCAGCCAACATTTTTCTTCATTCTTCACATCTGTGTTTCTTTTCTTTCTGGCTAAGTGTAATACAACATAAATTTCAAATTAGTGAACAAAAGTCATCTTTTCTAAAAATCTATAGTTGTGTAACACTAGTATTATACTGTTTCATAACCATATTTTTATTTAATCAAATAGTCTACATATAAACTATATTCTTGTCCATTCAAAATACTTGAGATTCGAGGCAACTATGGAGTGCTCTGAGTGTCTAGTTTTAAAGGTTTTTAATACATTGATAATTGGTTTTTTTTAATGTATATATTTATTTGGAGGAACATCTGAGAATGAGGACTTTGGTTGAGTGCTTTTGTATTTTTTCTAAATTTAACAGTAAATAGGCTACTCTCTAGAGGAAAGCTGCATACAAAGATAAGTTTTAATGAATTGTAAAATGGAAATGTAGGTCTATCTTAATCTATTTTGTGCTGGTACAACAAAATACCTGAGACTGTAATTTATAAAGAAGAGAAATTTATTTCTCACAGTTCTGGAGGCTGGGAAGTCCAAGATCAAGTCACCAGTATCTGGTGAGGCTTCTCTCTGTTTCCAAGATGGTGCGTTGAACACTAAGTCCTCCATGGTGGGGCTGGGTGGGGGGATGCTGTGTTCTTACATGGAAGAAGACAGAAGGGCAAGAGTAACAAACTACCACCATCAAGCCCTTTTATAAGGACATCTCCCAAAGGCCACACCTGCCAAGCCAATACTATTGCATTGGGGATTAAGTTTCAGTATCAATTTTAGAGGGGACAAAAACATTAAAATAACAGGGCCTTATTTCTGTTTATTTTGTAAATTTGTTTTGGGAAGGGGAATGGGATTATATAATTTTCATGCTGTAATAGATTAGCTCTAACATAATCTTTTGAAGAAATGATACTTTGAAAACATGTAAAATAAGAATATTTTAAGGTTTTCTCCTCTGTCAATAGCTTGACCACAAGGGACTACAAAAATAGAGCTGGTCTGAGCTTGTTTTCCTTTAGTTGCTCCTCAGCAGAGCTGGTGTGTCGCTTGATTTTTTGTCGTACTTCTGCTTAGAACTTCAAAAATTAGAAAGAATGAAGAGAAATATAGTATTATAATCCCATACACTGAGTTAATGTTATTAGATCAATTCGTGCCTATAGAACATCCTTAGACTACATGATAAAAGTTTACTGGCGAAAAAAAAAGATATCCTTTTTTGAAGTTCAGACTGTATTTTAAATTTAATGCAACTCTCTAATAGAGCTCAAGAAAACGATTTGCTCTATTTTCAATTACATGTTTGAATTATTTTTGGTTTATGTGTGTATATTTTGTTTCCCTGATGAAACTGAAAACTGCTTGATCATGAAGATGCTTTGGTGTTTTTTTTTTTTTTTTTCTGAAATAGCTAGCAAAGGGAAGATCACTGGTACAAATTCAATAAATATTCATTCAATTGCTGCAAAATTACTTCTAACCAAATGCATTACCATATGTATGTGTGTCTATACACTTGAATTGCATTCTATCAATTTCTTGGCCATAACAACCTATACATAAGTGGAGTTTCCTTAATGGCCCATATGCCAAGAAATGAATCAAGTTTTAAAAATTATTTTTTAGAATGCAGCTAAACTTGTAGCTATAATTTACTTTAA